ATGCGCGAAGTACGGTCCAACGCGGGCAAGGTTGAGAAGTACGACTTGGTCACTTTCACCATTGACGACAAGGAGAACCCTAAGAATTGGAGCAAGGCGTACAAGTGGTGGTGTACCATGTGTGTTGCGGCCACTTGCTTTGTTGTTGCGTTCAACTCGGCGGTCATCACAGCGGATCTGGAGGGTGTGAGCGCGGAGTTTGGGGTCAGCGAGGAGGTGGCGCTGTTGACTATTACGCTTTTCGTTGTTGGGTTCGGTGTTGGTCCTATGGCTTTTGCACCGGCGTCTGAGATCTGGGGGAGGAGACCGGTGTATGGTGTTACGCTTGCTTTGGCTGTCATCTTCACTATCCCTGGAGCTGTCGCGCAGAACATTGGAACGTTACTGGTAACGCGCTTCATTGCTGGTGTGGCTTTCTCGGCGCCTATGACGCTTGTTGGTGGAACATTGGCGGATATGTGGAGATCGGAGGAGAGAGGTGTTCCGATGGCAGCTTTCAGTGCGGCGCCGTTCATCGGCCCTGGTGTTGGACCTTTGGTCGGCGGTTACCTCAGTCAAGCTGGTGGATGGCGCTGGCTATACTGGATCCAACTTATTCTCAGCTTTGCCGTCTGGATCCTCATTACCTTTACCGTACCGGAGACATACGCGCCCAAGATTCTGGACAGGAGAGCGAAGAAAATGCGCAAGGAGACGGGCGATGACAAGTTTGTCACGGAACAGGATCTCGACATGCGACCTTTCAGCCAGCGCCTCCAGCTCTTCCTCCTTCGACCCTTCCAGCTGCTCTTCCGTGAGCTCATCGTCTTCCTCATCACGCTCTACATGTCGGTTCTGTACGGTCTTCTGTACATGTTCTTCGTCGCATACCCGATTGTCTACCAGAAGGGTAAGGGCTGGAGCGCAGGACCAACAGGTCTCATGTTCATCCCGCTCATCTGCGGTGTTCTGCTCTCCGCTGCCTGCGCGCCACTCGTCAACAAACACTACATGAAGCTGGTAGAGAAACACAACGGCCACCCACCAGCGGAAGCACGTCTGATCCCCATGATGTGTTCATGCTGGTTCATCCCAATAGGAGTTTTTATTTTCGCCTGGACAAGTCAGCCCGAGACCCACTGGGCAGGTCCGGCATTCGGCGGTGGCTCTGTAGGCTTCGGCTTCATCTTCCTGTACAACTCAGCCAACAACTATCTCGTCGACTCGTATCAGCACCAAGCGGCATCAGCACTGGCGGCGAAGACGTTCCTGCGCAGCTTCTGGGGAGCGGCTGTGGTGTTGTTCACAAACCAGATGTACGAGCGTTTGGGCGATCAGTGGGCCAGTTCTCTCATCGCTTTCATCGGGCTGGCGTGCTGCGCGATTCCTTTCTTCTTCTACTTTTACGGCGCGAAGATTCGTGAGCGTTCTCACTATGCCTATAGTGAGGAGGACAGGAACAAGGAGGAGAAGCTGGGAGCTTAGTCAGGAGAAGGATAATCCGATCGTTTTCTGTTTTGTGGACCTATCGTCAAGCTTTCTTCGACTTTTCTTGTATGCTGCATTGTGGGCGTTTGGTGTTTCACCGGGAAAAGGCCGTGGGAGGGGTCTTGGGATCGAAGGGTTTCTTTCGGCATCCATAGCGTATGTTATTCATAATCCATCAACTTCCTACTTCCAATATGCATCCAAACCCCGATGCGTGCAATCCCGCCAGTCGTTACACAGCTGACTGTTTGTGTGCGAGTTCATTCGGGGTGACATGTAGGCGAGACCTCCCAACGGTGATGTCATGCATGATTGCAGGCCCTGGCTGGGTTGAAAAGAAGTGGATGCGATGGGCAGAGGAAATTATTCCCACCGTTGGCCGGGAATGTCAAGCTTCCTAGACGCGTGACTAGCCGGGGTCACAGGCGATCGGCATCCTTGCCCAGGAGTGGGGCTCCAGCGAGCGGAAAGGCCGACCGAAGTCGACACTCCACCAGCGCGACTATCCGGCCCAGACAGACCTCTGACGACTTTCCCCCGAGCTTCGACCATGGACGAGCTCAAGGACACGCACAACTCCAACGCGCCAAATGGGTTTATGCAAGACACGCCGCCAAGAGCCGACGTCGATGAGATCCTGAGACGGAAGCGGAAGGCGCGAGAGTACAAGGTACGCCGTTGAGATGATGCGCTATCGATGCAGCGATAGAAAAGAGGAGGCTTTTGGGGTCGAGGGGCATTAGTATGGGCAGGTGTGAAGAGAGGCCTCTCTGCATTGCCGAATTGGGCTACAGGACCCGGCGCATCCAGCACGGCAGGAGCTACTGCCCCACGAACATGCGCTGACGCTCTACTCCCCTACAGGCCTGCTATCCGTGTCGACAGCGCAAGGTCAAATGCGACCAGAACGTGCCCTGCAAGACATGCGTCGTCCGCGAACATCCCGAGCTATGTACCTACCACCCGCCCAGCGAGTCGCACCCGCCCGCGAAACGAATCAACCTCGGACTTGGTCAGAACAACGGCCATGACTTCTCCAACGGCCTGGTGCACATACATGGCGGCACAGTCACGCTGCCTCGAGAGGTGCGCACATATGCGATAGGAGGATTGGCTGTAAACTAACCGTAGCAGGACTGGGAACGCATCTGCGGGAAGCTGCAACAAGCTGAGAAATCGCTCAGTGATTTGAAGCATGCCGTCGGTAGCGTTGCGGAGATACCACCACCCATGAACGGCTTCTCTCCTGCTGATGGATCTGGAAATACGCCTTTGGCCGCAGCGGCCCCCATGGACGGCGAGCAGAGCCACGTCAGAACCCAAGGAATACACACGCGCAACGACATCACCGGCCAAACGATACACATCGGACCCAGCTCAGTGCCAGCACTCGTCATGGCGTTAGGGAGGGGGGATACACAATGGGCGCCGGGCGTGCAAGATCTCTTGGGCAAGAAGAGCATGCTGCCGATATTTGGCCTGGACAACGAGAGCGCTACATACCCTTTCGTCGATCTTTGGGGGCTACCACACGGATCAATAGCGCGCGCCCACGAGCTTGCCAACGCATTACCGAGCGACTCTGAATGCCTGAGTTTCTTCCGCAGCTATCGCGAAACCGCGCACGCCGTATACCCCGCCGTTGCCGACATCGAGGCTATCGAATCCGATCTTCTGCTCTTCCTGATCAACCGCGCCAGCTCACAGGGTACCAACGGCATCACAGACCAGCAAATATATGGAAAAGACTTTCACTGGATAGGCATGGTCTTTGCTATACTAGCTTCTGGATGTCAATGCTCAAGCCTGTCACGAAAAGAGAGGGAGTTGACATCGCAGGTCTACGTCTGTTGCAGCTTTGAATGCCTCCGGTTCACCAATTTCTTATCGCACGCGACCATCGAGAACATACAAACACTTCTCATCCTTGGAAATGTCATATCAAATAACATGAACGCCGGAGTTGCCTGGAGTCTGATGGGATTGACAGTCCGCCTCTCGCAGACTCTAGGACTGCACCGACAGTGTCCTCCGTCAACGCCAGTGCAGCAAAGGGTCATTCGGAGCAAGACATGGTGGGCGCTTCTTTGGCAGGACTCGCTGCTCTCTGTCTCATACGACCGAGCCTCGTCGACCACCACTATTGACCATACTGTACCCATGAGCCAACACACAGCGCCGGGGACGAGAACATACGTCGAGAGTATGTATCGACTGTGCAAAGTGGGCCTGGACATAGTGCGTGAGCGTCAACGGCCACAAAACTCACATGATGCCCTGATACGAATAACGGAACACCGCAATGAACTCCAGGAAATCATGATAGATGCCGCAGACTACCTCAAAGACTCGAGAAGATGTCGGTCCATGCGCGATCAGCTCGAACACTGGGCACTATACCTGCACATATCTTACGTCACATCTGAGCTCTGTCGACCAGCCATCAGCCCCGCCACTGCCAATCTCGATCTTTCCAAGACACTGCGCAAGACGTGCATCGACAGTCTCACCAACACGGTCGAAGCATTCCTCGGTCTGCAAAACATGACACCGTTTGCTACCCGTTCCTGGTCTGCTGTGCATCGCTCCTTGAGCTCTGCCCTACTGCTTGGTATCCTCGGCGAACACAACCGCAACGAACGGGCGCGTAGTCTATTGCAGAATGTAATCCAAGTCCTGACAGATGTCACAAAAGATGTCGATCCTGCCGAGCTCGCCACGCCCATCACTCGATCCGTCTCAGCTCTCGAGCGGCTGCTGAGAATCACCACGACGCACAACCGCAAGCCGAGTGAAGCAGGCTCACAAGCGTCTCCCACGATGCACGTCTTCACCGCACAGGATATCAACAATGCGCTCAATGGAGATGCTGAGAACATGTTCTCGCAGTCGCCACTGCTTGGCTTAGATCTTGACTCCTCACCGTATGCGCTTATGGAGAGCATCGTGTGGGGTGCGCAGAAATCGCCATGAGATTATCAGGAGTGTAGGGAGTAGTCGAAAAGTAAAACAAAAGTAATGATACCCAGATGTGAGAGCGACCTAGCGCTGTCGAATGAAAAAGTCGAAACAACAATCAGGCTGCCATCATCATTCAAAGACCAAGCAGTTTGACTGCTTTTCAACCTGGTGCCTAATTGCGCGGATGGAAAAAACTTCATGCCGTCAGAAGGGAAGAGGCGATTTCAGTAAGCCATGGGCATGTGAGAACAAGTTTCGTATCGCGAGTAATAGTTTGGCCTGTAGTCTAGCGGCCACTGATTAGTAGTTTCGATCGAATGACATGAATGCAACGCCCTGAGAGGTTCTCTTGGTACCCACCTTGTCCGCGTCGAGTGAAAGCTTGCTGTCAGCCCTACCCATGACGTCGCTAAGCGAGGCGGCTGCGAGTGTTTGCCTAGACCCTGCATCATGACCAGAACCCGTGCAAACGACCCTAGCCGTCACCTAGATGGACTTGAGCGAGCGCCTTTCCTCTGAGCTTAAATGAAGGCTTAGCTCTTGCGTCGCCCCGCCACTCAGCAGTCGCCGCCATGTTCATGCTCCGAAACCGTACGTCGAGCTTTGTTTGCCATGTTTCTCTTTCCCGAGCCGCTGCCCCTCCCCCTCCGTTGCTGCGACGACACTAATCCGTACCACCAGTCAGTAAATTTGTCTTTGGCGACAGCTCCAAGGAAACCATCGTCGAAATCGCCCAGGGCCAGCTTTACCTCGTCCGACCCCGCTCTGTCAAGGGATACTCGGAGCTTATATTCAAGGTACGCAAGCCCGTGATTCTGGACTGCATGTGCATTAACAGCCTAGTAGGACGCTGCAGCTACCATCCGCCGCACCGGGCAGGAGTTCCAGTACCAGCTCGTTATCCAGCGCGCATACGAGGAAGGCGAGGAGGACTTGCTAGCCGAAGAGAACGAGGACGCGGCACTTGACGCGCTTGCCGGCGACAAGGACGAAAAGACGTTCCTGCTCGACGAAGACCTCCAGTTCCGCGACGACGTCCGCTCCACCGGCGAAAAGATCTTTGCGTGGCGCGATCTCAGCGGCGACGTCGACGACCTCTGGGAGTTTGTGTGCGACCCGTCAGTCAAACCCGAGACCGCCTCTTTGTTTGAGCGCGTGGCTCTGCAGTGCCAGTACGAGAGGAAGTTCCGGAGAAGCCACGAACACGCGACCGAGGACGACCTCGCTGCCCTAGCCTACTACGAGGAGCCCATCCCTGACGCGAGCCCCATCGCCAGCCCGACCCTTTCCAACGCCCGCGCCCTACCCGTCGAACCTCCCACTACCGAAGAGCTGTTCCCCAATACAACCAAGGAAAAGATGGCCAAGAAGGTTGCAGGCAAGGGCACTGTCCCGGAGCAGGAGGATGCTACGGCCGCGCCGCCCTCTGCCGCCCAGCCCCAGGCTCTCGAGACCCTGGTCGAAGGAGACGCGGAGCTTCATCTCTTCGACTTCCCCTCTGGCACCTTCATGAAGCAAGACGACAAAGTCAGTGTCACAGTTACCGAGATTGGCGACTGGAACTACTGGCTGCACATTGCTGGCGAAGAGCGCGAGTGGCTGGGACAGCCCATCGTCGAAGACATCAATCCAGTCTTCAACTACGAATACAAGTCTTTTATCTTCAACCACTACCTTGACGACGGCTCGGCGTACTCATGGCTATTGAAGTTCAAGGACCAGGACGAGCTCGAGAACATTCAGCAAGGTGTCATGCAAGCCCTCTGGGAGCACTTGAACAAGGTCAAATGGGGCAAGGCAAAGGACACCGATCGAGAGTACGTCTTAGAGGCCTTCCAGGACTTGACTATGGAGGATGCGCCAGACGAGGAGCCAGAAGAGGAAGAAGAGGAGGACGAGGAAGAATACGAGAGCACCAACGAGCAGCGGAGCGAGCACTACGACTCTGATGAGTCCGAGGATGACGTCGAGACTGGTCCCACCGACGGAGACCAAAACTCGCAGCTAGCGGTTGGCTACAAACACGACAGGTCGTTCGTTGTGCGTGGAAACAAGATCGGTGTCTTCAAGCATACCCCGGAAAACCAGCTGCAGTTCTCCACAACTATTTCCAACATCAAGACACCGGGAGGCAAGGCTTTCAACCCGAACAAGGTTATGCTGCACCAGCAGGATCGCGATATGATTCTTCAGAACTTGGAGAACCCAAACAATCTCTACCGAATGGACCTTGAGACTGGTACCGTTGTAGATGAGTGGAAGGTGCACGACGACATTCCCGTCAAGGTCTTTGCGCCAGAGAACGTACGTACATATCTGCTGATATCTGAATGCAAGCTGACATGTTACAGAAATTTGCCCAGATGAGCGGCGAGCAGACCTTCCTGGGTCTCTCCGACAACGCGCTCTACCGCGTCGATCCTCGTTTGGCCGGCAACAAGCTAGTCGACGACCAGCTCAAGCAGTACGCTACCAAGAACGCGTTCTCCGCCGCTGCGACTACCGAAAAGGGACACATTGCTGTTGCGTCCGAGAAAGGAGACATCCGTCTCTTTGACAGACTCGGCATCAACGCCAAAACTCTCATTCCCGCGCTCGGTGACCCAATCATCGGCATGGACGTCTCAGCCGACGGTCGCTGGGTCCTCGCCACCACGCGAACCTACCTCCTCCTCATCGACGCCCTCCAAAAGGGCGGCAAAAACGACGGCAAACTCGGTTTCGAAAAGTCCTTCGCCAAAGACGACAAGCCCCAACCCCGCCGTCTCGCCCTCACACCCGCCCACGTCGCCCAATTCCAACACGAGACAAAAGCACCCATCTCCTTCACCACCGCCCGCTTCAACACGGGTCTCGACGACAAGGAAACCACCATCATCAGTGCCACCGGCCCTTTTATCGTTACTTGGAGTATGAAGAAGGTGCTGGCTAATCGCAAGGATCCTTACAATATCAAGCGCTACTCCGAGGAAGTCAAGGCCGATAACTTCAAGTTTGGCTCTGACAAGAACCTTATCGTCGCGCTGCCGAATGAGGTCGACATGGTGGCTAAGCGTGCGTTGCAGCGGCCGACACGCGAGAGTATCGCTATGCCGAGTCGGGTTGGGGCGGGCAGGAAGAGCGGAGTACGCGGAAGCTATCTCGGTAGAAACGAGATTGTGAATAGCCCGTACTAGGGTTGTGAATCGGCTCACGCTTTGGCGCTTTTCAAGGGAGGTATGGGTGTGTGGTCTGGTGGTGGTGGTTGCGGTCATCATCTTGCGCGGTGTCGGCGTTGTGTTAATCTTTCTTTCTTCTTCTTCTTCTTCTTCTTCGACGAGCTACGGATGCTGTGACGATGGGATGCGAGTAGCTGGTTTCCTATATGATTCCCCTTTTTTAGATCGAGACTGGAAATGGCACACGTTCAATCATGACTTGCATTGTTGTTTATACGGTTGACATTGTTATCTCGTTGCATTGGCAGTAGATATGGATCCGGTTGCCTACGACTTCTAGGTTCAACATGGGTTATTTGTCGTATCGAAAGCATCGTACGGAGGCTACGCACTTTGCTCTGCGTTGCATGATTATCTTGTAATGGTTTTCATGTCGCAGGTTATAACGTTGTTCTGTACGAAGTTTAAACTAACTACGATGGCGGAAGCAGTTGTATTGTTATTTGCGACAGAAGGAGATGCGGTGTTAGTAGCAATTAATAGAGAACTTATCCATTTATTAATGCGACTACCTTTGCTACCTTATCTTTATCTGCCTTCTTGATGTTGTATTTCCTAAGAGACTTAACTATGTTGTTGTCAGCGACAAGGTTATCTATTAAAACGGCTTCCTTCGCACAGTTTGGAAAAAACTAAGGATAGATGACGTCCTGGCATGGGATATGGCTTTATTAGCTGAAAAGCTGCTGAAGTGCTGTCGAATTCGCAAGGAGCATCCGTAGAGTCACGCATTTGCCATCACGCCGACCAGGGTACATGGTTATGAGTAAGGCGGTACATTTATGGAAAGAGTTTCTGGCCTTGGATGCCCGGCATTACGCAATTAAAATATCTACTACCCAAGAATCAGATCGACAAGCTCCTTCTCTCTTTCTCGCTCCCAAACGTCAGCATGCACTACCCCGCAAGCCCGCCGGTACGCAACGCCGTCTTCCCATTCAATCCACAGCACAAATATGCAGTCGAAAGCCCGGCGTTCTTCCCTTTCACCCGCCTCGGAACTTCGTTTTAGCTCGACTTCCCAATCTAGTTCTGGTGAACGCAGAGCCCAGGACGTTCCTTTACTCATTGCTACAAGCTCTAATGGGTTGGGGGATGAAGAGTTTCTGCCCGTCTCTCTTAACAGAGATTCTTGTTCTGAGCTGTTGAGGTAAATAAAGCCAACGTATTGATCTTGCGACGATTTTAGCCACATGTGGGGTAAGTCCACCAAGCGGTATTCCACGTTGTGCACGAGTTGACCACATAAAAATGCTCGGTTTGTTTGGGCGAAGAGATACGCGGTTTGTGGGACGGATATACTGGTACTTGTAGAGCAGGGCTCCGGTACAGGGAATGGATATGAGTACTTTTTCCGTGGACAACGAGTATGGCTAAAAACCAGCCCTCGTTTTGCGTCGGATTGCTGATCCCATCCTTGAGGTAAAGTGGATAAACGGCCTTGTAATGCCATTGAGCGATATTCATGCCACGATGAATTGATCGGTCTCCGCTCAGGAGAGGCAGGGTGGGCAAGAGTGCACCACTTGGTGACGGGTTCCGTAAAGCGTTTCTGCCAGTAGCCCTTTTCGTAGATTTCATCATCAGGAAAGCGTATCCTGCCGGTCCAGCCGATCCAGGACCAACTCGGTAAGTGCAAAGATGTTCCAGTAGAGCATCTTGAGCGTGGAATTTTGCGACGTACCAAATTGCCGTTAGGTATCCAATACAATGCAAGATCGAACCAAAATTCGGGAAGTCCGTAGAGAAGACCAGGCTGGTAGAACTGCTCGAGCAGGCTCTGCGTGCCAGCAAACGCAGACAGTGCGTCTTCTGGGAAAGTCAGGTGACGGGAATTATAGGCACTGACTAGATTGCCGAGTGCATAGAGCGTTGGCATCTCAGTTGCAAGCAGTCGATGAATTGTAAGAGTTCGGGAGTTTTCGTTCGGTGGTAGCTGTTTCATCCGATCTTCGCGCATCTGACCATGGTCACAACTCCACTGAACAGCATCGTCTACGAAGACTAGTTTCCGCATTGAGAAGGCATACTCTTGAAATGTCCATGCTCTGGTGTGATATGTGTTCGGGACTTGAGATTGCCAATACCCTCTCGAAGGATGGGGTATTGCCGCCCACTCGGACTCGGAAAGCTGCGTAGGCACCTGAGAATGATTCCGTGAGGCTGTCAGGCCTTTGAGTCCGCGTAGCCCATAGTTCGCGTCAAATCCGTCTGCAGCGACGATGGTGAAGTCGGCAGAGTGATAGATGCGGTGCATTCTAGACACTTCACCGGCAAGCTCGACGTGATCGTCTTGTATCTAATGTCATGTCAAATGCTGTTCGCTTCGAACCAAGCAGTAAATGTAGGTGCTCACCACACACAGAGCATCCACCCAGAGGTACCTATAGCCAAGCAACTTAACAACGGCGAAAGCATCGTTAATTGTTTGTGGAATGTGACGAGCTAGATCCCAGTCTGAAAGGGAAGACGGCTTGAAGAGTCTTTCGCGAATCGCAGTCGTGTTTCGAATCGTCCTAGTCTGGCCCCATTGGTAACTCAATGCAATGTATCCTGCTCCCATACTCTCACCCTCAACAATACACATTTCAAATGTATCGACAAGGTATTTGGGCCTTACAGTCCCTAGGTGACTAAGCCAAGATGACCGCCTGCATCGAACTCCGTGAGTTACGGTGCATGCTTTTATCCACTGCTTCAGTAAGCCCACGTCGACCCATTGAGGATCTACCACTCGCATTGATCCTGGATGATCAGGTACCGTGAGATCGCAGAGTAACCCAAGGTCTTCCCCTTGCGAACTTGACAACAAGAAAGAAAACCAGCCACGTCCGTAGCTCGTATCGATCCTCAGGAGAGACGTTTCACGAGCTGGAATATCGGTAAGAAGCCTGTGCAACCAATCTTTGAATAGTGCCACGTGGGAACATTGGCTTTGAAGGAGATCTTTTGCTGTGCCCAAGGTAAGTTCCTTGCGGGTGTCGGTCTCGTAGGCGAACAGGAGTATCGTGCTACAGATTTGACAGTCGGGTCGTCCGTCAGATGATCGGCACGCTCCACGTTCGGGATTGGCTTTCTCGACTTCTGCGACAGGGACCATTCTGGTTCTAATCTTTACGTTTGTACACAGGTAACCGCGGTTTCTTGGTGTATGGGGCCGATGGCCGAATTGCGAGAAAGTGGTGTGAGTGCGTGCAGATCGAGAGAATGAGGCACAGCAGCGGCCGTGAGGCGAGGCATTCAAGGCGGGGTACTGTATGCAGGTTTATGCACGTGCATGAGAGGTGTTCTTCATACTTGTCATCATGTATAACGAAGTTGATTCGCTGGAAGCAGTAGGGATGACGAAACACAAACATTCTATAACGAGAAGTTGGTCATTCCGGATGGCGTATCCCACAGCGCATCCCAGGAGAAATCGAAAGCGTTTGGATCCAATATGTCCGACAACAAGAATGTCGCATCGTCAAAATTAGGCATCACCGGTACGTCGATCCCATTGCCGTTAGGCGCAACGCTGGTTAGCTCCGTCTCCGATGGCTGTGGCGCTTCTCGTGCGTTCAGCGATGCGATCTTCGACACAGGATCAGCGCAACGCTCCAAGCAATAGTTCGCAAGATCCCAATCGTAGTTATCTCGCGCATGCTGAATATGCGCGATAACACGTTCCAGGCGCGCGACGCATGTATTCCGTATTTCAGGATCCTGGGTCTCGACAGTGCAGCGAAGCGACACGGTGATTGCATGTACCAGAAGGTGAGTCGCATAGGGCAGCCAAAAGTCCAGGAACTGAGTTTCGCCCATGGTCAATATGAAGTCGAGAACTGCCGATGATGCGATGCGCAGCTGATCCATCCGACTTCGCCCTATACTACCATCTCCATCAAGGACAGCTGCGCGGAAGATGAGACGCGCGAGTACAAGCCTTATCGAGAGAAACGAGAGCCATAGCATAGGTGTGCCAGGACGATTCGGGAGAGGGAGCCATTCCGGTAGCTGTGATTCCAGATCGTCTAGCTCGTGCTTGAAGCGATCGATCTCTCGGGCGAGTTGGATTCGATCTGGACTGATCTGGTAAACGAAGGGTAAGATTTCGGCCAACAACTCCGTCAAAGAGCATAAATGTATGAAGCAGGTGGTAGTCTGTTTCTGCTGCGAGGTTGCCTTGGTGCCAATGAGTGAGCTGACAGTTGGTCGCGGCACGTCATAATAGCCTTTCGACACATATGGTGGGGCGCCATATGCGACACTAGACCACTGGTCGGTGATGAGGACACACCACCAGAGTCGCATTCGCACCGACTTTTCATTCTCTGTGATGTTCCACTTTGATGGGTCTCTGTGCAGTCCAAATGTCTGAGCTAGAGATACTGTTCGACCGCATAAAGTGATGTTGCCGATAATAGAGACCGAAGGACGTCCAACCTGATCCAGCACTGCAGCTTGAATAGTAGACATTCCAGGGCTGAGAAAGTCCTCCAGAGTCGCTGAGATAGCCTTGTTCCAAACGTAGTATGAGTTTGGTTTGGGGTGCATCTTCAGGGTATCTGATTTGGCCCAGTGCGGCGATGCAAGTGCGAAGATGACACACATCAAATTGTTTGGTACTCTGCCGTATTGCCCTGTCCGCAGCATCTCACACATCTCCTCATCTAGGATGGGGAAATGGTAGTGGATGTGGTTGAAATACAGCTCGACCACTTCTCGCTTAAAAGGTCCCATGATTTGCTCCACGATCTCCAGCTGTTCTCTCCCACAGCCGCTGTTGGGCGGTAGACCAGTCCGAAACCTTGGGACTGTGAGGTACACCACTGGATCTTTCGCATCGTGGAGGAGTGTCTGATAGTTGGAAGATTCCACCTCACCCTCTGCTTTTCGATGCTGTGAGATATGTCGATTGAAGATGTCTATATCTTCAGCGAAATGCGGCGCAAGCATGATGGATGCGGAAGGATTGTTGTTGGTTTTATGCAAGATGGGTGCTGAGCGAGGCCGAGAAGGACCTTCCTCAGGCTCGCTGTGCCGTCGCCGCTTGGAGGGCCGTCGGTCTGGGCCCTCTTCTGTAGGAGAGCTGGTCGTTGAACTTTCGACATACTGGCACTTGAGACGTCTTTCTCGGCATGACAGACATGGCTCTCCGGGAATGTCGATGTGACATCGGATTTTGCGCGAACGACATCGCGTACAGGCCGGTACTTTGTGTGAGCGGTATGGCCTGTTCTGAATGGGAGCAGCGCTGGCCATCAAAAGAAGATTTGATCGACCAAATGTGCGCGGACCCTGAGTGAAAGCTTGAGTAGCTGTTCGAGGAAGGCGCGGTGCAGCAGGTTTTGGGTCCACGACAACACAAGCTGAAGTCGCGATTGCGATGGAGGTTCTTCAATGGTCCCGAAATGGCGTTATCGACGTCGATTGCATGATGCGGGATTCTGAAAAGACAGAATGCGAAGAAGCTATGGAATCGGTGACTGCACGCCGATAGCGCATCGTTTAGCGCGCCCCACTTATCTGTGCCCAAGCTCCGGTTCTCTGGAGGCTCTGTCCCCACCAGCTGCAGGCTTCACATGCCAAACGCCTCACCAGAATGTCTTCCTATGTTTGCGCCACATACTTGGACCTGACTATTCATGTTCTGTATCTCGCACAACTCCTTTCCACGACGGTGGTATTCCTCTGGGGCTATTTCGGCAGCCGTCGCGCTAGTTCGACCGCCGCATCAAAACCCCGTATCCACGAGCCCACCTATGTGGAGAACACGACTAATTACTCCAACAATTGCACTCTCCTACTTTACAAGACATCGAGCTGTCATCTAGGACGTTTAATCAGACTATATATACGACATCTTTGTCTTAGTCATCATCAATCAACACCAACATCCGCCTGCTTAGCTCAGTGGTAGAGCGCGTCACTAGTAATGACGAGGTCGCCAGTAAGTACACCCATTCGAACCGCACCGAGGACAGGGCGCTGACGTGCCGTGAAGGTTCAATTCTGGTAGCAGGCACATCCATCGCCGCCGTCGTCGACGTCGACGTCCTGGTGTCCTTTTTTTTTTGGCTCGGGTCGACGTGGTTGTGAAAGTAACTTGAACTTGTGGGCGTGGGCAATCCTGCCAAAGTTCATCCTGGTAGCAGGCATTTGTTTTTGTCAACGAGGTGCTGACAGTGCGCCAGAGACGAACGTGCAGTTCATGCTCGCAGCAGAGCGTTTTTCTATTTTGTCTTTCCAGGGGTAACATCGGGTACCAACCCCGTCACATATGCTTTTTGGGGGCCACCACTGGAGGGCTGCTTCTCATTGCCACGACTATGGAAGAGAGATCGAGACTTTGGCCTGATCGTTATAGTACATGACATTATTCGGCAACGGTGCGCAGAAATCACTCCGCTTGAAGGCGGCAATTCAATGGATTATTCTGCACGATCATACCATGCGTCTAGCTGGAAACCACAGCTATACGATGCGCGAAAAGATATATCCAAAGAACATTTCACGATAACCGTGGAATTGACGATAAACACAGAGACGGGCTTGCCGTGTCCTCAGCAACCGATATTGCGCAACACGGATCTTGTCTTACTTGTTGTTAATGCTACAGCGGACAATTTCCACTGCGAATTACTTTTGCCACCACACTCCTTCGCCCTGAGGCTCCAGAGACGCTTCGACACGATGCGAAGAGCACGCGACCTGAAATCATCGTCGCAAACATACAACCGCCTAGCGCAGGCATGCTGTCATCGACCGGGCTCTGCCGTGTTGTTATGCAGCTTTGATGAGCAGCGAAATTGCGACTCGACGGGTACCGGCCGAGGAAAGCAACCTCCATGCACGAGGCACCCAGGCTTGCATCTGCCATCTGCAGGTAATTACCGGATGTGCAGGATATTCCTTGGGTCGCTATATCGCTGCTCCTTCGATCTGCTTACGCTGACTGGGCGCGTCGATGAGCTATATTGGATGGAGCGGTCGTACGCCGCGAAAGCACACGCGAACAATGCGCATCGGCCACCACACAATAACTATGATGACATCTAGCTCCCCAAGCCCATGTCGCCATATCAAACGCGCCGATAGTCACCCTCGATAAGGGGGAGTGCACCGCCATCTGCGAACCAACGCGAGGCTGAGGCAGAAAATAGCTCGAGCGCCTAACGCCCCCAGGAAATTAGATGGGAGGCCCAATCACCATTCACGGGTACCTGGACCTAACCTCAGGCTAACGCGCATCACGGCAAGATGTACGGCTGCACGGATCAGCTCTCACGGTTCGGCCTTGCCAGGCACGCGGGCGTTTCGAGCTTGGTTGGCGCTCTGCCGTTTGTTTCCTGGTCTCTGCCGCGTCCTGCGCCGACGCTCCTTCACCTCCACGCCGCCTCTCTAATTCCTCTCACGACATCACGTACTCCTGCGGCCAGGTTGTCGTCTTGTCCTTCTTTCATCAAGCGCTACCTGTCGCATTTCACTCTTTACCACATAACCATAGTTACACTCTTTTCTGTCTAGTGCCTAGTTCACCCAATACACGACATCCACCCCCGTGCGCCCATCGAGCACCACATTCCTCACAACGAGCCGAGTAGATTCGAGAAACCCTAGACTGCGCGTAATACCTTACCACGCACTATACGGAACCTCGAACGCACGAGCTGGTTACTGTAGAGTTGACGGCGGAGTTCTACCGAGAGCCATAAACACCATAAACATAATCTACCAATCCCCGAAACGACCTTTTGATACGCCACGATGCACGCCATGGCGCACCAACATGCCGGAGCGCATCTTGTGCGACGGCAACGCGACGACGGCCCCGTCGAAATTGTCACGGCGGTCGTCGCCGTGACTGTAGGAGAGGATGGACAACCAGAGCCGACTAAGAATCCAGGAATCGCTCTGCCCGCGCCTGCTACACGTGCTCGCGAGACAACTACAGAGGAAGAGGACGAGCCGGAGGAGACTGCCAAGCCCGAAAAGCCAACCACAACCGCCAGGAAGCCGTCATCTACCCAGGACGACGATGATCTAATCGTGGAGGAGACCTCAACTGCGAAGAGCCCGCTCAAGCCTGCCTCCACCCTTATGGTAGCGACCAAGTCCCCAACGCCCAGCCCCGCCTCGTCCATCGCAGGTCTCGCATCTGCCACAGCCGCGACTATTTCAGCTACAGCATCCTCTTCTTCAGCCGCCGCAGCAGACTCTGAGGAAGGCATGTCCACCGGTGCGAAGGCAGGTCTTGCCCTGGGTATACTCTTGGTCTTGTGTGCCATTCTCACTGGTATCTTGCTCCTGTACCGCCGCAAGAAGAAGCAGATGGCCGCCGCAGCTGCTCAGAACGAGAAGACTGAGATGTACAACGCACCCGCACCACCGCCTCCTCAAATCATCGCTGGCGCTGCTCCGGCAGGCAGCATCCGTTCTGCCCGTACTGCATCAACGGCCCCCCGCCTCAGCCTGCGCCCAGTCACCCAGTTCGACCCAGCATTCAACGAGCAGCGAAAGAGTGGAGGAAACTTGCTCAACGTCGCTGCTGCCGCCGGTGGTGCTGCTGCTCAATCCCAGAACCGTAACCTCTCGCCTTCAGCATCCGCTGAACGTCCTACCAGCGCCTGGGAGCGACGTGGTGCCGCCAACGCTCCCGCTGCCGACCCATTCAAGGATCCTGAAGCGCAATCTGGTCCTCCCTCAGCGAACCCCTTCGGCAACAACGCCGCGGTCGATACTCAGCAAGCCTCCATTCCCGACTCGCCTCCTAATGCTTCTCCCATGGCCTCCGCTATGCACTCTTCAAAGCCTAGCTCTGACTTCGCTAACCCAGCTCCGGCTATCGCCACCGCTGATTCTAATGCTGTTGCAATGTCTACGATCCCCCCTCCTACCTCTGAGCTTCCTCTCCCGCCAACTGTCGCCGCCAACAACGGAAGTGTTCCCCCGAGCCCGGCTTGGACTGAAGACATCCCTGCGTCCCCTGGCCCAGCTCCTGCTGGTCCTCTTCCTGTTGCCGGCGCTATGGCTGGTGGTCGTCCCCAGAGCCCTGCCATGGGTCCTGGTCCTAACAACGTCCACCGTGTTCAACTTGACTTCAAGCCTTCCATGCAAGATGAACTCGATCTCCACGCTGGTCAGCTGGTTCGTATGCTCCACGAGTACGATGATGGATGGGTAAGTTCGACTATTCTGTTTACCTTAACAACACGACTAACTCCTCTCAGGCTCTCTGCATTCGTATGGACCGCTCGCAGCAAGGTGTCGTCCCCCGCACATGTCTCTCCAAGCACCCTGTCAAGCCTCGTAACGGCCCTCCTCGCAACGGTCCCCCACCACCAGGTAACATGCGTGGCCCACCCATCCGCCCAGCCATGGGTCCGGGCGGTCCTCAGCAGCGTCCTCAATCGCCCGGCATGAACTCACCCAACATGCCCCAAGGCAGCCCCGGTCCCCGTCAAATGTCCCCTCGCCAGATGTCGCCCCAGCAAATGCCCTCCCCGCAAATGCAACAAGGCCCACGCATGCGATCCAACAGCAACGCTCCCCAGCAAGGACCTCCCCGCGGCCGCTCCAACAGCAACGCGCCCTACGCCGGCCCACCCCGCTCCATGTCCCCCGGTCCCTACGGCGGCGGACCCCAGATGGCACCCCCACCCCAAATGGGCGGGCGTCCACGATCCAACTCCGCGAGCCAGGCCGGTAACCCACGACGAGGTCCAGCACCCGGTCCCAGTCCCATGAACCCCAATGCCATTACCCCCAACGGACCCGTTCCTATTCCCGCCCGGAAGCCGGTTCCTGGTATGGCTATGTAAACAAGAAGACGTTTGATTCTAGACTGGTGCTTTTATGAGGAACGTTTGAGCGGTTTCTTGATCTTTGATATATTTTTTCGCTATTTCCTTTTGTGAAATCTTTCCAACTAGCGGTACGCGGTTCCTTGTGAATTCGTCGTTTACCCTGTTCCCTTCGCTTGGCTTCGATTCTTTGTAGTGGCTCCTTTCCACTGCACATCTGCACACCATAAAAGATATGCTGGATGTGCAGTTGGAGGCCAGTCACTACTAGACCTCTTTGCTTTTCGATGCTTATACCCCCTGTAGCCTCGCACCAACCGTCCCCAATCTCACTTATCGAGGCTGGTCACCGGAGCAGGCGAGGCGAGATACTTTAGTCGATAATGTCTTGAGGATATTTTTTATATATATGGAAGTTGAATGTTACCTGTCCGCTGGGAAGGTTTCGGATGGGCTGGTTTTGAGCCATGGCATATACCTTCTTTCCATTTGCTCTCTTGAGCGCCTGGTGCAATATGAGTTTACTCTACTGCTTGCAAGTGCCGGGTCGCTGAGGGTAGGGAGAGGTATGGGATTCTTTGAGAATGAATATCTGGATAGGGAATGAAATGAGTATATAAAACGCTTCGTCGCCTTCGTAATATCGGTGTCTCCCGAGTTCCGATTCTTTGTCGGTCTGACAGCTGTCGGCAGTCTGCTTATGTTGCCAGCCTTGCCCCAACACCGTTTCCAGTACCTTGATCTATCGCACTTCCTTGCTTTACAGCACCATAAAGAAAGTATTCCTAACTTCCTCAAGATATGTCGATGTTTTCTCTTCAAGTCAATTTAGGTAACAAAAGTTTTGTAAGCCTCGTTACTCCAAGGTAGGGTAGGGAATCTCAAATTTCTACGGGTCTTTTTTACTATTTGATAACATATGTACGTTGCTTCCGCTTTCTAAGATCGGCGTACTGACGGTTTGCAGCTATCAAGAATACCGTAGTCCACATTTCCACTGAAACAGCTGACGGGGACAAGTAATGCATTACTAGTATTACAAGGCTGAAATCTAAGTATGTACGCAAACACATGGACAAGCATGACATACCTTACAAGTGCATGTGTGATCCAGGCGGAACGCAAGCACTTGTGAGATCGCGGCGGCTCGTATGCAGAGGTGGCGGCTGTCTCAGGCCGGTAGGTAAGCCCACATACAGAGGGATGTAGATCCTTCGACCTGCTAGCCACTCACATTGCGTGTGCCAAAGTGCTTCAGCGAATCAGGGCGACGATTCGGGGCTAACTTCCTTTCTCAAATTTTCCAATGTTCAGACACCACCACGCAGCGAATCAGGGCTACGACCCAACGACCTCAACCGCTAAGTCCCTTTCTCAAGCGTACAGATTCGTAACTCTTGCTTAGACGCATGCAAAACTTATAACAATCTGACTTCACGCTGTACATTCTGAATTTACGCACGAAGCTAAACTTTCTCAGTATATCGACTACGTTTATTTCGTCTCATACCTATTGAGAACCATCCCGCTGTAGGGTATCGAGTTTCTTACGCGTCCCCCCGCAATCCTCCACCCGGATCCCACCGCTCCGTTTCACAACATCAGCGAGTCTTGCCTCCACATCTCGTACGAAGTCATGACTTTGAATGGTAGGCTCCTTTGTGATAAATTGTTCTTGTTTTTTGGCACACGTGGCGAACGGAATGCCTTGCCACATCTAGTATCATTCAAAGTTGGCGTTTGGAAACATACTAACGTCTCTCAGTCACACATCTCACTACTCCTGCCGAGACAGGCCATCCATGGTCCAAGGAAGCTATATTTGCCCTAGTCACCTTGTTCGTCATGGTGTTGCTGTCTGGTATGGGGCTAGTTTTCAGAGAACGCATGAGGACATCGAGCCTCTGGATGCGGTATAGATTGCGGAGGATGGACGCAGACGGTATGCAGAATATCAGCACCCGAATTTCTCACCCAGGCCAACGTTGCGTAGACGAAGAGCTCGCAACGATCCGTGTCAGATCCACATCTTCCGGCTGGGTTGGAATCGCAGACGTTCGGCGGTATCAGCAGGCTACATATACATCGATCCTTCGAACGAGGCGCGGGCCAAGGCTGTTGAGAGCGTCAAGCCGATCAAACAACAGGCGTGGATAATGATGGAGAACATCAGAGCTGGCGAAGAGCAAAAGCTTAGCAGTAGCAGACTGTAGGGTACATTGTCTGGGCTCGAGCTTTTACATTCCGCCGCAGTTACTTGGGGGGCGATGGAGCGTGGGACGGTGATGATCGGGTATTCTTCTTTTGTGACATTTCGAAACGTTAGTTGTGGTTTCCGTGAATTACGAATGAATCTGTTACTGTGAGTCGCATATTCTACCTTCGCGTATTCGAGACCCTCAGCTTGCTGCTGTGTAGCGCGTGATGCAAGCAAGGCTGAAGATTTTGTTGTGCCGCTTCTCGAGCCTTGCTAGCCGGCATGTCAGTCAAGCTCGATTCTCAGCAATTGAGGCCATTGAGATGTGCGGTAAGGTTTGGGTGAGATATGCAGTATGCGAGCGAAGATTTAGTGACCTGGTGCGATCGCGTTGAGGACGGACAGCTTGCAGGTGGAGGAAGGTGGGGAGAAGGGTGGGGCCATCTTAGCACGCTGGGGACCGTGCGTTCTTGCTAACCCGATGGCGCAGTACTGGTCTTTGCCAACCGCATCACCTCATATGAGTAGCAAGATGAACAGTTAGACTCTCAGTTGAACTAGTACAACAGCGAACGCTAGCGGAACAATTGATGCATGGCAGACTCCTAGGAGGTAGATGTTCAAGCTTGCTAATTCCAGCTACATGCGCTCTACGACAACAAACGACTGCACTTTACGATCCTACTCGACAAGACCCTGCTTCGACTTCTTGGCCTGCTTTTTCTTCTTCTTCTTTCCTTGGATTGCAAGAGCTTCCAACTCTTCTAGCTCGGCCTCTGCTCGGCTAGGCGTAGCTTCCACTTGCGCAGCATCATCGGTCTTCATCTCTCCATTGACGGGAATCACGGACGGCTTCTCGACCTGCATCACCGAGTCTGAGCGCACGTGAACAGGAGCTTTGGTCGTCTCTGAGACGGTATCACTATTATTGACTTGTTCCGGCTTCCTGTTGCCCATCTGCTGGTACGTCTTGGAGGACTTGAAGTCCAGCTCATCCGTGAAGGGCTCGAGCGTTGCTGGCTTTTCTACTGGCTGGGCTTCTTCGAGCTTCGGGGCGACTTCTTCAGTGGGCTTCGAAACTATGGCGTCGTTTACAACTGGAGTCTCGGTAACATCCTCCTTTGGAACAGGCGCGGACACTGGTGTAGCTATAGTCCCTTCTTTCTCCTCGACTTTGGGTGGCGCAGTTGTAGAAACAGCGTCTTCACCACCGACCGACTCGTTGAGCTCCGGCACAAGCTCGGCCGTTGGAGTAGTAGCTTCTTCGTTATTGACCACCGGTGTCGCCGGCGCCCGGGCATAGTTGCTCATCACAGTCTTCCAAACGAGCTGCAGAAGCCTGCTATTACCCTCCACTGTCGTAATGAAGTCCGGCTTTCGGAACGGCTCTGGATCGTCCGCCATCGCATTGTTGAGCGACTGTTCAACATAGCTGGGATACCACAGATCATCTTCCGGTAGCAAAGGAAACGCATGGTCTCTCGCTACGGTAAGGATATCGAAGATGCTCATCTCTTCGTCGAGGGACTTCAGCTTGTTTTGAGCTAGCTCAGCAAGACCCGGTAGCTTGTAGCGAGCGGCGGCGCAGTATACACCTGCGCCCAGCTTGTAGACTTCGGGTATGACTTTGTCGGACGACGCCAGTGTATTCAGACTCTGGTATTTGCCGGTATACAAGTAGTGTACCAGAGTGTGCGCTGTGTTTAGATCCAGCTCCGGGAGAAGTACGGATTGCTTGACGAAGGCCAATGGATAGGACTTTGCGGCAAGGACCTCGCTACGGCTCAAGACGCTGTCGTGAACGAGGAAGCGAGTTGCTTCTGGTCCAACTTCCAAAGAGACCATCTGTGTGGTTGCATAGGGTCTGCAAGACACTATCAGCGCCATACTGAAACTCGGTGGTGAAATGTAACTTACGAGACCTCTTCAGGACTGACAGCTAAGTCTCCCGTGCCATACGCGTATCCACCCAAACCGTCATTGTCATGCGACACGTCCAAAGTAGAGTTATCGCTAACAGACATGTTGTACTAACACAAAGATACTCCTGCTGATACCCGTCAGATTTCAGACGAACCGCTTCCCTTTAACCCATCACGACAACTTCCCCCAAAATGAGGCTCAAAACACATGCGCTGTCACATATTACAAGACGCGGGGTCTGTATGCACTCATGAGTTGTCAGTTCGACAGCATTCTCAGCCTTGTGGCATCGGTGATCCTGTTGGTCAGCCTGATCGTCCTTCACTGCACCCCGCGAATGGAGCGTCCAATAGACCAAGACGGATCGATGAGCTGAGCAAAACCGGTGAGATGGGGCGTAGATTTATCTGGAATTATCTTTGGTTCTATGCGCTCAGACCCGATGGCTGAATGGGCGCGCTATCGCTGGTAGCCTGCGATCTAGACTGTTCGTTGGTGGCCGCGGAACAAACGTTCCTCGTGTACCGGGAACTCGTCTCCTAACAACATCGTAATCGGAGCGGGGGACTATGCGGGTGTCGAGATAGAGGACACAACTGAGGACGAAAGGTGGAGGTAGAGGTCTGATTATCCTTCCTAGAAGGTCAACTTGTTGGAAGGAACGAAATGTCGACCCTTGCGAGGTTGTAGTCAGCCGCCACATCTCACCTTCACAACGTGAGGCGCGGAGAAAAGAAGAAGATGTCTTGGCGACGACTGGGGAGAAGATTTGGGGTACGGAAGGCATTACTATGAACGATAATCGAGATCTAGACATCGCATGTCGCGTTCTAGATATGATTGACGAAACGGAGGGTGAATTGAGTCCGCGGATAGGAATGAATCAACACCTCTAATCGCAGCGGCCGAGCGTGGATATTCGAAGGTTTTGTGTTCTACGGGAGACAATTGCCGTCGTACATGATGCAATCGCAGTCCGCGGACGGAGTGGACCCTGAGGACGCACAGTAGGAACGCACGGCGTGCCACTTTACCTAGGCTGGCTTAGCGCGACTGTGCCTCAGCCTCCACCCACAAGTGCACCAACCGCTACCGTAGTGCGTACTTAGTTAAGTACGGCTGAACATCATTTGCATCTTCGACTTCAGCTTCCTCAAACTCAGCCGCGTGTGGTATTGATCCACAGAACCAGGCTGCAATGTCGGAAATATACACAATTCAAACCACGAACTCGACGTCGTCAAGTCACACAAATACGCTGCATCTTCCAACAAGTCTTAGTTTCTGGATACTCAGCGTCGTCAGTGCCTACTGGCTTCTCGTTCGCACTCTCCGGTACAAGCGTCGCGATGGCCTCACTCACCGCTTGAATGTAAAAGCAATACTACCAACACTTCCACTTCTGCAAGGCTGACAAACAACCCAGTACCCCGACCGCTCATCATGGAGTCGCATGACTGTCAAAGATGCGCATTCAGTACACGTTTCCCTCACTGAACTCGAATTCCCAATCATATTTCACACATCCACATTCTTCGCCCTATTCAAAACCTATGGCATCCCCAGTATTTCGAAGCTGCTTGTCGCAACAGGACAATTGTCCTGCCCGGAAACAGCATCAAAACGAGCTGCTGATACTGCTACTATCATGACCGAGGCGATTATTAACGAACCCGATTCTGAACGCGCCATCAGCGGCATAGCGCGTATGAACTACCTTCATAGTCGGTATATCAAAGCGGGGAAGATATCTAATGACGATATGTTGTATACGCTCAGCCTCTTCGTTCTTGAGCCTATCAGGTGGACTGCCAGATACGAGTGGCGAACTGTGACGGACTTCGAGAGATGTGCCATGGGTGTCTACTGGAAGGATATGGGTGAGGCGATGAAGATATCGTACGACACTCTACCTTCAGCAAGCCAAGGATGGCGCGACGGACTCCATTGGCTTGAGGAGGTAGAAGCGTGGAGTCTGGCATATGAGGCTCAAAATATGGTGCCTGCTGATACCAACGCAACCCTTGGTCGTGGTACTTTCGATGTCGCCTTGTTCAACGTACCTTCCGCTCTCAAGCCTTTCAGCTTTACCGTGGCACACATGTTACTCGAGCCACGCTTGCGGAAAGCTATGAAGTGAGTGGAAGATGGAGCTCTCACTTACTTGACCCACGTTGCTGACCACTACCAGCATACCACAACCACCTGCCATCTACTACCAATGTCTAGAAACATTGGTCGAGATTCGCAAGTTCTTGCTCCAAAATTTCTTCCTCCCCCGTCCGTACTTCCTACGCCCGGACTGGTTCACAGAAATCGACGGGCGCACTGGCCGCGCCAATGCTGGTCAGTATATCGACAGGCCGTGGTACGTCAAGCCGTCGTTTATGAAGAGGTGGGGTCCAAACGCGTTGTTACTGCGACTAGTTGGGGGTGTCGTCCCAGGCGACGAACGATATCATCCAGAGGGATATCGGATCCATGAGCTTGGTCCTACGGAGCTCGTGGGGAAGGGTGATACCGAGATGCGGAATACGAGAGATGAGTTGAGAGCGAAAAGAATGGGGTGTGTCTTCTCTCGCTGATGGACTGGGTGTGTTTGCTGTGATGCGATGACGAGCTTCGTTCAGGTGTGTAAGGCGCTCGGGTTCCCATGAGTAGGATGCAGTAGGTCTCAATGAGAAGAGAAGCATCAACCGTGATGGCAAGGTGTCATACGTATTTGTGCTGAGATGAAGAAGTATAGCGGAAGACATGAGAGAACCAAGAGAGGTGGAGGGGTCCACATCGGAATGGTTCCGCACCCGCATCCAATGGCGGAACCCCGCGTCCACCCCGCGGTGATACATATGGAGCAGTTGCTCTCCGCTACATATAGCATCATCCCACTTTACTATCCTCTTCTCATATTCTCAAGAACTCACAATGGCGACCACGAAAGTTGCACTGATCACCGCCAGCTCAGCAGGTCTGGGCGCGCAGATAGCACGCGTATTTGCACCAGACTTCCGCGTAGTATGTATAGAAACCTACCGTCACATGTCCAGCATATACCGTGACCAAGAAGAGCAACTAACATACCCAGGTAATAAACTACTCCTCAAACTCCGACCGAGCCGCCACCCTCATGAAGGAGCTCTCCTCCATCCCCGGCCCCTCCTCCTCATGCACCCCCCGTTTCCACCTCATCCAAGCCGATATGTCCTCCAAACCCTCCGTCCAAAACCTCGTCCAAGAAACCATCTCAACAATGGGCCGCCTCGACGTCGTCGTCTCAAACGCCGGCTGGACCCGCATGACCACCTTCACGGACATCGAACAGCAGGTAAACGACGAAGACTGGGACAAGTGCTTCACCATGAACGTAAAAACACACATGTGGCTCGCCTACGCCGCGAAAGACGCCTTAGCCTCCACCGAAGGCACTTTCATCTCCACAGCGAGCGTAGCGGGAGTCAAGCCCAGTGGGAGTAGCGTGCCGTATGCTGTGACGAAAGCGGCGCAGATACATCTTGCGAAGAGCTTGGCTGTTATTCTTGCGCCGAGGATAAGGGTGAATAGTATTAGTCCTGGTATGTTGCTTACGGAGTGGGGACTCAAGTTTCCGGAGAAGAAGAGGGAGGCGGCGATTCAGAATACTAAGTTGAAGAGGTTGGCGACGGTGGAGGATTGTGCGGAGCAGGTTAGGGTGTTGGCGCTTAGTAGGAGTATTACTGGGCAGAATATTTCGATTGATGGGGGGTCTTCTGTGTAGGGGAGGGTGTGTTTAGTTGGGCTGGGTTGGACTGGGCATGTTAAAGTGCGGAAAGGACTTTGCGCTGAGAAGTACCGAAGAATCTATTGTGACTGAGGGGAATGTCTTGTTCGTAGAGGAACATGCGTTCTCGGTGTTATAGACGCTTACAGTTTCAGGCTTGGGATTGCCAATTCCGGCGGTATTGTAAGCTGACCGCATAGAGCTTCACTAGGAAAACCATATGCATGGCCGGTTAGAACAACGATTTTCTATTCTTTACGTTCTCATCTCTGCAGTGTTCCACAGAAACGGGCGTCGCAAAGAGCGGTGGAACGATCGTGAGACTCGCATGTAGCATGTGCTACGTCGACACTCATTCGACTTTTGTGCGATGTATACGTTGTGCACTGTGTACATCTTCGGCGTGTTTGCTGTCGCTAGTCTGACGGATGAGGTTTGAGCAACCGCAAGCTTACTTCCGTTGCACAAGTCCATGAAGGACGCTGAACAGGGCGTGAGGTGTGCTCTGAAGACAGTTTTGAACGATGTAAGGGTTGCGACTGTTCCCAGCCACGCTCAGGTACCGAGCAAATCGACCGATCCGTGTATCTCGAATGAACTAATTGTGACAGCATCGGTGGCGCACTCGCAGCGCCGTCTGCCACAGGTCGCCGTCTCTAGTCGAACTCCCGTCCCGCCAACAGTATTGCCCAGCATGGTAGTGAAGAGGCACACGTCAATGAAGGAACAGAAAGAGTAGCCAAGCTGACTCGCTCTTACACCAAGCTATCGGTACAAGACATCCACTCTAGAGTCAGCAAGACAAGCCCGTCGGAGAATTGATAGGGCGCGATGCACCAATGATCCGCTCCCAGGTTACTCCAAACGCGTAGTCAGGGCTCCGGCTTCGGAGCGCAGCCATTGGCCCGGCGGGTTTTCGCATCCTACGAAACGTGCTTGAATTGCACAACATGCGATACGTCGAGATAAACAAGTACAATCCCACCCGTCAATAAAGATCGCGCGGAATGCCAATCAAGGATGCGAAATATGTGGAAAGTGGCTGGTCGCGTGCGAGCCAACGATGCTGCTGTGTCCAATTCCAGTTTCCCCACGCCAGACGTGTGCCACAGTATCGACCTCTCCACGAGCCCACCACGGCGGCCTTGAGACCCACCGCCTCGCTTCTGGGGACACTCACATGCTTTCGCGACAGTTTGCCGCCAAGGGTTGCCGGACGGGTACGGGAGGCTGACATGCAGCTGAGCCCTACTGCATGCCACGCCGCACGGGTCGTGGTGCAAAAGAACACAACGGCTTCAGCTGGTCAGGCCAGTTGATGTTGTTTCGTGTCAGCGCGTGGATGCAAAGAAAGACGAAGGTTTGATTGCTTCTGAGATGCCTCCCACTCTCAGAGTAAGCTGCTGGCAGGCGTATCCAGGTCGAGCTCGCCTCAGAGTATGCGGACACGGGCATCGGGAACCAGGGTCTCACAATCTTCGCGCTCCGGCATGTTGCCTGGCTCGTTGGAAATAACTCTGAGCTGGTTCGAAAATAGTCCCAGTTTGGGCGTTTGACGAGGTTAGCTGCTGCCCTTGTGGAGACTCGTTACTGGATGCGGTAAGATACGGTACGACAGTGGCCGCGGTCAGTTGAAGAACCACAGACGATGGCCGGTCGGACGGGTGTCTCGATCTGCTCAACCACAGCCGGATTTTGCACGCCGCGGGCCTTCTGCAGGGCGTGCGCTCAGTAGCGCCGTGTCGCAACGGCAAGACCAAAAAACCCAAAAGATTGGGTGTCGAATCGTCGTTGGGCGCCCGATGTTCGCCCGACTGCGGTACCGCGATGTCGCGAGACCTGGGGTGAGATGCACTAGACGCGAGGAGGATGGCAGCAAACCGCCGTGGTCGTCTTATCGCACACAACGTACGTGAATCGCATAAACACATGGCCAGGGACGGGGTGGCGTTGGAGAGAACGCGTCGCGACGGCCGGCGAAGATGCGGCACCCAAAGCAGCTAGCGCGCTCGATCTCCGAGGCGGCAGCTGATTGGGCGACGCGGTTCTCTTATCTCTGGCCAGAAATGCAATTGACACACGCAACCTGGACCACCCACTCGCCAAGCCTTCCGCCCCGGATGAAACTGGCGTTGCCTGCAATCGTTATGCGAATTCGTGTTGAGCCCGTGGTGAGAGGCGCCGCGCGAGGCCTGTCCCTACAAGCTGACGCGACGTGGCCGCCGGTGTGGGTGGGCGTCGCGCCTTATCATGTCTGCTTCGTCGTCACATGTTTGCAGAGCAGCGAGCCGGCGAGATAAGGCGTTAGATCGTTAGAGACAGCAATGACGCAGCTCCGATCAATCGCGGCAGAAAAAGAACAAAGCTCCATGGCTGGATCTAACGCGAACCCCACGACGGTCGCGGCTGTGGGTGATGTACCCTCGTCTATTTTGCCTCGAGTGATGGCCCGTGGACCAGGATAGATAAGAGTAGTACAGCAAGTTCCACCCATAAAGGTCCCGGCGCATCTACCGTAATCTACAGTAGGGCTTCCGGAATCTCCCTGTAGCAGCTTATATTACTGGCACCGATCCAGCTTTTGATCACTTCTCTTTTCTTCCACAGGCCCTACCGTGGAACCGTCCTCCCTTTCCCCATAGTACTTAAGGACCCCAGATCTCCTTAGTACCCCGACAATCCCCTAGGACTCCCTTCACGATGTCGTACTCGTGGGTCGGCCCTCCGGCGCAGTTCAATGGCACCGATGATATCACTGGTGGTGACTCTGGTGAGTACAAGTCCCCATGTACCATTGCGCACGTGCCGAGCGCAACATCCGCATCGTGTGCGACAAACGGCTAACATGAACATCAGTCACCGAGAACTTGAACCAATGGTTCTCTGCGGGTGACCAGGCCTACATCCTCGTGGCCTCGGCCATGGTGATGATCATGGTTCCCGGTCTCGCATTCCTCTACTCCGGTCTTGCTCGCAGAAAGTCCGCCCTCTCCCTCATCTGGGCCTGCATGTTCTCCGCCTCCGTCATTACCTTCCAATGGTACTTCTGGGGATACTCGCTCGCTTTCGGACCCTCAACGAACGGTTTCATCGGAAACCTCGACAAGTTCGGTCTCAAGGGCGTTCTGGCTCATCCCAGCCCCGGTAGTCCTTTGATCCCAGAGTTGCTGTACTCTTTCTACCAGGTACGGCAAATATTGTCATCCATCGATTTCAACGAACTAACACATCTCAGATGCAATTCTGCGCTGTCACTGCTGCCATTGTCGTCGGTTGCGTTGCTGAGCGCGGTCGCTTAATCCCCATGATGGTCTTCATCTGGCTCTGGGCCACGATCGTATACTGCCCCGTCGCATACTGGGCCTGGAACGCAAACGGCTGGT